GTGATGGTCATGTTCTGCATCTTGAGGGGAGTTTAGACTGCACAGGTGGATGCATTTTGAGGAACTCCTGGGTGATCCACTTCACATCTGTGCATGAATACAAATTCTATCTGAAAAGGAATAAAGGAATTATATATAAATATTGAACTCTAATTAATAACATTGAAACATTTTGGAGGCATCGACTAATGTCTGCAATTCACTTTGAAAGGCATTAACAAAAGCAATTAGATGAGTAGCTGGATAGATAGATGAATGAGTGGAGAATCAATATATAATAAAGTGAATACAATTAAATGTTAATTGAAGAAACTAAGGGAAAATGGAACGAGAATATTGGAAAAGACCTTGCAACTTTTTATGAAATTCATTACAATCTATTTTAAGTATGCAAGTTTTCACAGTATAAGTTTTTCAACTTTTCTCTAAGTCCCCAATTTTGTAATAGAATGTTGAGAACAAAGGATAATTGAAGATAATTAGCAGATTTGCCTACGAGATGGAGTCCTAGCCCTGGGGAAAGATACAAAAATCTAGCCGATGCAGTCGGGTAGGACAGACAAAGAAAGCTCCTGGGTTGGGAAGTTGGCCTTCTTTGCTCCACTCCAACTTTGGCAACGAGCCTGCGGGCTTAGACAAAGTAAAGGACCAAGTTCTTCCTGCATTTCACAAAGCCTGCTGGCTCGTATGTGTCCTTTTGCCTCACTAAGATGGTGACCTTAAGAGTTCTCAGACCTACTGAGTAACCCTGGAATGGAAGGGGGCTGTCTGACACCATTCACTCTCATCAAATACTTACACACTCTGTAGTAGGTTTTGAACTTACTATGATGAACTGTAAAATGATTCCTGCCTTTATCTGTCTTACCTTTGGTGAAACACTATTTCTCTTCTATTTCAGTCATTACTCACACCCCCAAAAGAAGCATTACAAGTTTCTTTTTTTGTGGGGCAGTTTGATGTTTTCTACAGTTTTTAGTTGTGAAAATCTCCTTTGTAATGTTGGATTTGATCCTGCTATCTGAACAGAAGAGGATAATTTATTGTTTTATTCTCTCTGGAGGGAAACGATACAAGAAGATCTCAAAGACTCAAAATAGCTCAGCAAGAAATTGAATACATGTCTGGTGACCTAGAGTTACCTTATACTCTCCTGAAGGGGAGGTGTGGGAGAAGGGGCCGTCAGCTGTTAAACTCAACTCTCTGCTCCTCTTCAAAGAGAGGTCCCTCCCTGCCATTCCTCTTTCCAGCACTCCAGCCAGAAATCTGTTTTTAGGTTTATTTACTCATTCATTCACTTTTTCTTTTTTTATTTTAAAGATAAAAAAACTAGCAAAACAACAACAATGAGGACAAAACAAAACAACACAAAAGCAACAGAAAAGGTACATGACCTCAAAACACAATGATAAGAATTAACAATGGTTGCTACATTACATACTGTTGTCTTCAACGAAGTTGCTCGGTCCACCAGACGTAAGAATGTAAGATTGATCAAACATTCAAAGAGAGTAACAAGTAATAAAAAAAACCAGAAATGATTCAGAGCTTCATCACACAAGATGGTAGGAGTTCAACAATGGTTCTTATACTGCACATTGTTGTCTCCAGATCAGTCATCCCGATTACCAGATTCAAGCATGCAAAATTGGTCAAGAAAAAGGAAAATTGTAAGCATTGGCTCTTCCTTTCAATAAACCACAGACATCAGCAATACACCTACCCCAGCTATCCTTGTATATACATATACATTTTGTTTTTCATTTTAAAGAGAAAGGAAAAAACTAAAATAACAAAAACAAATACATAAACAAAACAGCATAGAGAACAAAATACAGAATTTCAAAAGAAGGTGATAGGGTATTAACAATGGTTGTCATATTACATAATGTTATCTTCAAAATGGTTACACAGATAACCAAATATAGACATGTAAGACTGATCAAATAATTACACATTAACAGTTCCTTTCAATAAACCAACAGATATCAGTAGTACAATTATCCTAGTTATCCTGTGTTTATGTATACATATTTCTTCTCTTCCTTTTTTCTTTTTCCTCTCCCTTCCTTCATCCCAGTTGCTTCTATTTGAGCAGTTTCTTTTCCCTATTACAATATCTATTGTACCTTTTAGATTTTATTACTCTTTCAGATTCTGCTTTTTTTTTTTTTTTTTTTTTATATT